GCCGTACCGGTGGGTCGGGCAGCGAGGGCGATGGCGCGCGGCCCGGGACGTAAGCCGGAGCCAGCCCACTAGACGTGGGGGGGGGGGGATTTTCGATGCGCTCCCCCTCCCGCCAAAATATTGTCGTGGCTTGTGTCCCTGTTGAAACCAGTCACGCAGTCTAAAAAAAAAACACGATGCGTTGCTGCTGCACATGTGGCTCCAACCAACCAACCAACCAACCAACCAACCACCAGGGAGGGAGACAGTACAGCTGCTGCAGAACGTTTGACGCAAGGTTATTCACACGAAGGCCCCCTCTTCTGGAGGGCCTAACCCTTACCCTTACCCTTACCCTAATTCACGTTCACTGCCAACCCATTGTACGACACAGGTGATCCCTCAGGAGTGGGTTTACTAGGTCACAGTGTCACCAACGTTGGTGATGCGATATGAACAGAGCAGGCAGCAGGGCTCACAGCTGACTGCCACGTGTGACGTGTCCCCAAGCTCGCGCAGAGTTGACTTGAACAGCCCAGCGAGCCTCAATGAGCCACAGTAAGAACAAAATGACAAATCTGTGCATAGGCTTATGTGGCTCTCGGTGCTCACCTGTTCCTTGGCCAGGCGATCGAACGCGGTCACGGCGGTCTGCGCCATGGCCGCCCGGACATCGGCTGCTTCGGGGGTCATGTAGGCGCCGCGCAGCACTGCCATCGGGTACTGCTTGCCTGCAGCCGCCGCCACAGCACGACCGTGTATTACGAAAAAAAACAAATTAAGCGTAGTAGAGAGGAGAGAGGAAGGAGATATCGCACACGGCCTATTTCATTGTACGACAATGTGCGTCTGTGTGCTTCGTTTTACTTTTCCGTCTCATCTGTTCTGGTAACAGACCATACCTTTCGTTGTGCCTTTCCTTTGGTGGCGTTGACGTTCAGCCGGGGTCACACAGGAGCAAGATATGCATAAACGGGGACTTGTCTCATGTTAGGTATGCATATTATACAAGTAGCGGAAAAAACAGACCATCTATCGCTGTTTTTCTGTGCGAAAGACGTGTATACTTGACACACGCGCGCGCGAGAGAGAGAGAGGCAGAGATACTGGAAGAGATAGGCGGGAGGGAGAGAGTAGAGAGAAGATAGATTGCGAGCGGAACAGGAAGAGAGCGAGAGGAGGGCGGGGAGAACACACCTGAAACAATTTACAGGAAGGGGAACAACGAGGGAAAAAAAAAAAAAAAGCATCTCACTTGCGCGAATGAATCTGCACGACAAAACCGCGACCCACACCTTCTTCCGTGTAGAACAGCGTTGTCATCAAGTAGTCCTCCAGGAAGTCTTCTTCCGGGCGGGGGTTTGCCACGGTCGCCGGAGGGAGGCCGTACCTGTTGTTTTTGTTTTGTGTGTTGTGACGTGTGTCAACGTTTTCCATGAGGCATCGCTGACGCCGTTCCGACGTGGACGAGGAATACTACTAATGAATAAAATACAGCATTAATCAATAAAATACGGAGGGGGGGGGGGGTCGTATG